TACTGAAAAAGTTTGAAAATTTCATAAATATTTACAAACTGTCAAAATTAATTTATTTTCGATAAATACTCTCAATTGTTAGGGATGGGACAAATTTATTGGTTATTCAGAGAGTGATTCGAATTGAACAACGTACAAAAGTCGGTGTTCGCTCAGACGATTTTGTATGGGGAACTAAGTAATTACTTCGTAATTAAGGGTCGAACAACGAATGAGAGAGCGAACAACGCTCGTCTGTACATGGCATTAGGAATAACAATGTATGTAAATTTGCTAAGAGCTTTGTTTGGTTTTGTTTTGTTTCGTTGGTTGGTTGGTTGGTTGCTTGCTTACAAAAACAAATCCCTTAAAATTGTATGCATTTTATTAGTGTATGTGCATGTGTGTGTGTTTCAACAAAGTAGGGGGCGATAATGTAAATGTAATAATGCGGAGAAATAGATGGGTTATGTTGACAGGGATTTTTAAGGGAATTTGTTAAGAAAAAAATGAAATTATTTACAAAGGAAAAATAATAAAATTAAAAAATAATTAAATTAAAAAAAAATAAAAAAATAAAATAAATTATTTTTCTTAATTATATTAAAAAAAATATTTGTTAATATTCAACGAACCCGCCTATTATCCAACCATTATCTTCCAAAGGGTTTTGGTTTTGCATAATGTCGTCGCTCTCTAATAGGCCATTAGGTATTTTAATTTTTTTATTATGCAAATTCTTAACGCTCACACGCACACAGACACACTTGCATGCATAGACAAAAAATGTTTACATTCTGTTTACTAATTAAACCTTGACCTGTAATACTTAAGCGCACACATACTTATTTCCTAGTATTCTGAGGTTGCAAATGCATTGTTCGCTGGGGGACCGGCATGTTTTTTTTTTTTTTTTTGAGTCAATCAGGTCACATAATAAAAATTTGTAGGTTTTCTTCTTATCGCCGAACAACCAACCAACGACAACATCGTTTTGATGGTTTTCACTATTTTCTATTTTTTGTCGTTTAGTATTGTTGTTTTTGTACTAAACTAATTAAAACAACAACAAAATAAAGAGCGAAAATGTTAATTAGTTTTAACAACAAAAACAACAAACAGCAGATGAAATAAAATCAAATGTCTGATAAACCTGTTAAACGGCTTCATATAAACAGAAAATTAATGCCACTATTGTTGTTGTTGTTGTTAGCAAGAGAGAGAAAAAAAAGAAATTAACATACATATAAAAATCGAAAACATTTTCTGTGGCAATTTATTTTGTTTTATTATTTTTTTTGTAAGGTACGTGGCTCGGTGGCGTGAGAAAATTAAAAGAAAAAAATTTGTACTAAATGAAAAATTTTTTAATAAAAAAAAAATAATTTTATAATTAAAAAAATAAATTATTTAATTAAAAAATAAATATTTTATTAAAAAAAATTAAATATTTTATTAAAAAAATTAAATGAAAATAATTTAGTGAAAAATATTTTCTTATAAAAAAATTAAATTTTGTTAATAAAGAATAAATTAAAAAAATTAAATTGTTATTTATAAAAAATATTTTTTTTATATTTTTTTTAATAAAAAAAATCTTATTTTTTCATTAAAAAGTGATAAAAGTGTAATTAAAAAAAATATTATTTTTTTTTTAATTAAAAAATAAAAACAATACTATTATTAAATAAATAAAATTATTTTTATTAAAAAATAGGAAACAATAGGAAACATTAAATTTTTAATAAAAAAATAAAAAATAACTTTGAAGGAAAATTAAATAAAAAAGTTTATTTCATTAAAAAAAATTAAATATTTTATTAAAAAAATTAAAATAAAAATAATTTAGTAAAAAAAATATTTTTTATAAAAAAATTAAATTTTGCTAATAAAGAATAAATTTAAAAAAAATTAATTTTTTATATAGATAAAATAATAAAAAAAAATATTAAAAAAAATAATAAAAAATCATATTTTTTTTATTAAAAAGTGACAATTTTGTAGTTAAAAAAATTATTAAAAAATTGCTTTTTTTAATTAAAAAATAAAAACAATACTAATATTAAAAAGATAAAATTATTTTTTTAAAAAATTTAAATAAAAAATAACTTTTAAGGAAATTTATATTTTAAATTAAAAAAAAATAAACAAAAAAGCCATTTTTAAGTTTAAAAATTTAAATTTTTTAATAATATTTTTTTATTAAATTTGGGAAAAAAATATTAAAAAATAATTAAAATTTGTAAATAAAAAAAAATAAAATTAAATTTTTTAAATTTTTTTATAAAAAAATATTTTTTAATAAAAAAATGAAATTATTAGATTTTTTTTATAATTAAATTTTGTTAATAAAGAATAAATTTAAAAAAAATTAAATTTTTATTTTTAACCAATTAAATATTTTTTATAAAAAAATATTTTTTAATAAAAAATCATATTTTTTATTAAAAAATTAAAATTTTTAATTAAAAAAATTATTTAAAAAATTATTTAAAAAATTATTTTTTTAAAAATTTTTGAAAAAAAATTAAAATTTTTAATAATATTTTTTATTAAATTAATAAAAAAAATTAGTAATAAAAAAATAATTAATTTTTTTTACAATAAAATTTAATTTTTTAATAAAAAATAATTTTTCTAATAAAAAAATAATTTTTTCAATAAAAAATAATTTTTTAATAAAAAAAAATTTAGTAGAAAAAATATTTTTTTAATAAAAAAATATTTTTTTTTTAATAAAAAAAAATAATTTTTTTAATAAAAAAAAAATATTTTTTTATGAAAAAAATAAAATTATTTTATTTTTTAATTTCAATAATTTATTTTCCCATTAAATACGTACTCCATTAAACATTTACAAATCGTTTGGAATTATTGAATTTATTTCAAATTGAATTTTAAAATAAAAATTCCCCCTCAACTCCTTTTCATGACAAATGTTCACTTGACATTTCTAGCCAACGGCCACAGCAACTATTCGAAATCCCACACCACACCTTCCCCTAAACTAAAATGAACTGAACTTGTCAAGTCATATTTTATTCACATAATGGCAATGACAACAACAACAATGACCAGCAATGCAATTTGCCATTTGAAAAAAAAATATATATTCAATATGACCATGTCATTCAAACATTTTTGTCCAACTAACAAACGAACTATGCAGAAGGATGATGATGACCAAAGCATATCTTCTGCTCACTTCACTACAAAAGAGCTGGAAGAGTGATGGTGAAAGCTTTCAGGATTATGGAGAAGAAAAAAAAAACTTTTTTTTTTTTCAACACACAAAAGCCTTGCGATGAATGAAAAAAATAGTGGACCAGGAGTATTGAAGTGGAGTGTAGAAAGAAAAATTCCGACTAAAAGTATTTGATTGTGATAAACAACAACAACAACAGCAAAAAATTTTTACCAGGGCCAGAAAGTCATTCAAATGCCTTTTCGAAATGCCTTGCAATAATGTGAGAGAAAGAGGAAGAAAAAAAAACAACAAATTCCTTTCAACATTGAAATGTTCTATATATAGAATAATTTCAATGCATGGTATAATCATTTAAATATGCAACAATTTCCAAGAATTTTGTGTGGTTTAGCCCACATGCTAAAGACATCAACAGCCATGTTAAGGGCAAAAATGGCCAAAAATATCATTTCTGTCTTTCTCTGCAACAAAAACCCCAAAATCACAATGGCAAAAAACTATTTATAAATTTAATTTGAGAACAACAACAATCGAAATCAAGATATCATGATTTTTGTGGTATATATTTTACAAATCATTAAATTTTCTTATGATGTTTGGTTTAAAAAATTATATAGGAATTTATTTAATAATATTTAAATGATATTTTCATTACAAAAATATTTTTTGTTGCAGAAAATCCTTTGAAATTTGATTAAAATGCCACTTTCAATCGAAAACATAACGATTTCCCTTTATAAACACGCCCTTTAGGCTATAAACACAAAATCTGTAGCATACTTTCAGGCAAAACGGCATTAAATCACCAATAACGGTTACGTTATTACATCAACGATGTAAAAACGGCACGCTAACGGCTTGATTACACAGAATGTATGTATTTAACAAATTTAAAGCATACTTTCAGGCAAAACGGCATTAAATCACATTAACGGTTACGTTTTTACATCAGCGATGTAAGAACGGCACAATGAAGTCTTATTTACACTGAATGCATATATTCAACAAATTTAAAGCATACTTTCAGGCAAATGAAATAGACCATTGGGGTAAGGTTGTCATTTAAAGGGAAGATATGAAGGAAAATGGAAAAAAATTAAAAAAAAAAAAATATATATAAATAAAATTTAAAAAATAATTAAAAATTAAATAAATAATTAAAAAAATTAAATAAATAATTAAAAAAATAAATAAATAATTTAAAAAAATTAAATATATAATTTAAAAAATTAAATAAATAATTTAAAAAATTAAATAAATAATTTAAAAAATTAAATAAATAATTTAAAAAATTAAATAAATAATTTAAAAAAATTAAATCAATAATTAAAAAAATAAATTAAATAAATAATTAAAAAAAATTAAATAAATAATTAAAAAATAAAATACTATTAAAAAATTATAAAAAATTTAAAAAAAATTTAAAAAATAAAAAAAAATTAAAAAAAACCAAATAAAAAAAAATTCCAAAAATAAGAGAAAAAAATTCCATTGACAGGAAATTCAAAATTTAAGCAAAAAATTTAAACAAAAATTAATTTAAAAAAAACACAAGAAAAAATGACATATAATGACAACCTTATCAAAGCAACTCATTGTTTTGCCTTATAATGTAATAACGCCCTTTTACGCCATAGTTACTCTGTTCTTCTCCCATTCTCTTTCAGAGAAGCCAATACACTAATTTAAAGCCTCCTTTTAGGCATTGCATTCATTTCAGCTAATGTTTTGATGTTTTTATTTAATAAATATTTTATTTAATAAACAAAAAAATTTAAAAAAGTAATTTTGAAAAGAAAAAATTTCGACTTACCTGATATTTTTTAATACTATCCAACTGTTCCATTGTCGGCTCAACGATCTGGGCAATTTGTTGTTGTGGCTGCTGTTGACTGCCGGGCATACCTCTGCGATCGGGTAGCTGTGGTGGCAGCGGTGAGCTGCGCATGCGGCCACCATCTTTTGGCGGTGGCGGCACCGCGTCACGTGGTGGGTGTACGGGCTTGATGCTGCCGTTTAACTGTGGGGGTGGGGGGGAAATTTTAGAAAAAATAATTATTATTTTTTAAATGTAATAAAAATGAGGTGTTGATGTTGAGCAGAGAATAGAGTGTAGAATGTCATGAGTTGTTGTTTGTTTTTGGTTTAGTATTTTATTTTTTGGAAAATGAAAAACGTAATGAAAATTAATGAAAGTGTAGTGAAGTGTGAGCAGGAGAATAGCAAGGGGGGAGTTTTCGGGGTAGCGATTTTTGGTTTGTTTGGAATTATTTAAAAATATTATTATTTAAAAAATATGTAAAAAAATTTATAAAAAAAAAATTTAAAGGAAAAAACTAATTAACAAAATTTTTAAAGGAAAAAAATGGAAAAATAAATTTTTAAAGGGAAAAAATGTAAAAAAAATTAAGGAAAAAAATGAAAAAAAAAATTTAGAGGAAAAAAATGGAAAAAAAGATTAAAGAAAAAAATGGAAAAATTTAAATTTTTTTAAAGGAAAAAATTAAGAAAACATTCATAAAAAAATTAATTAATTAATTTTTTCAAATGAAAAAAATTAAAGAAAAAATTTAAAAGTATAAAATTTTTTCTAAAGTAAAAAAGTTAAAAAAATGTTAAAATTTGTTTCAATGAAAAATAAATAAAAATATTAAAAAATTTGTTAAAATTTTTTATCAAAGGACAACATTAAAAAATTTTTTTTAAGTTTTTTTTTTTCAAAAAAATTAAAACAAAATCGTAAAAAAAATTCAAATTTTTTTAAACGTTACAATTTTTTTCAAAAGAAAAATTGTAAAAAAAATCTTAACAAGTATAAAATTTTTTTCCATAGTGGAAAAATGCTAAAATTTTCTTCAAATGAAAAAAAAAATTGAAAAAAAATAAAAAAAAAATTAAAAAAAAAATTAAATTTTTTTTTCAAATGAAAAAAAATTGAAAAAATAATATAAATAAAAATATCAAAAACAATTTTAAATTTTTTTCAAAGGAAAACATTAAAAAAAATTATTTTTTTTTTCAAGAATAAAAATTGAAAAAAAAAATCTTAAAAAAAATTAAAAATTTTTTTAAAATAAAAAAATAAAGAAACAATTTTTTTTATTTAATTTTTTTCTCTTTCATTACACATGTCGTTATTTTTTATTATAATTGTTGATTTTCCTCCACTTTCAATTAATTTTTTTATTCACTCTCCCATCCCTGTTTCTTATTGAGTTAGGTCGGTTGTCTTCCAAACTTTTCAAATATTTACTTTAGTTTCGGTTTGCTTTTGGCAATAGTATTCTGTGTCTGGCCAAAACAGAGTGTTGTTTTGGCCAAGTTTACGATTTTCGTTTTTTTTTTTTTTTTTGAGAACCATTTAACTACACTTGAGAGTAATTAAAAAGTTCGGAAGATATTTTATTTAACTTGGTGTTTGAATTTTCTTTTTATAACAAAATTAAAGGAGGAGGGAGGCACTTTTAAAATTCACAAAGAAAAAAAAGGAATTTATAAAATTGAGATTTTTTTGAAGGAAAAAAATTCCAACCCTGGCATAATTTTTCTTCGAAATGAAAAAAAAATTAAAAAAAAAATGTAACAATGATGAATTTCCATTCCCAAAAATTATATTTTTTCCTAAAAATTATTTAAAAAAAATTTTTTTTCAAAAAATTAAAAAAAAAATTTACAAAAAATTAAAAAAAATAATGAATTTTCGGTAGGGAATGCAAAATACTAAATTACGGCCAATTCGGTTGAAGAATTTGCTCAAATCCCCCGAAATTCCGCATATTTCGAAGTACCGTTATATGGGGACTACCCTAAAAAATTGATCAATATTGATAATTTTTGGTAGGAAGATTTGCTATCCCGTGAGAACCCCAAATACCAAATTCCAGCCAATTTGGTTGAGAAACGTGCCCAAGATCCCGAATATTCGAAGTACCGTTATATGGGAGCTACCCTTAAACTTGGGTCAATATTGATAATTTTTGGTAGGAAGATTTCATATCCCATGAGAACCCTAAATACCAAATTACAACCAATTTGGTTGGAAAACATGCTCAAGATCCCGAATAATAGAGGTGCGGTTATATGGGGACTACCCTAAAAAATTGACCAATATTGTAAATTTTTAGTAGAATGATTTGCTACCCTATAAGAACGCGAAATACCAAAGTACAGCCAATTTGATTGAAAAACGTGCTCAAGATCCCTAATAATAGAGGTACCGCTATATGGAGGCTATACCCAAACATGGGCCAATATTGATAATTTTTTGTAGGAATATTTTCTACCTCATGAGAAGCCCAAATACCACATTACAACCAATTTGGTTGAGAAACATGCTCTAGATCCCGAATAATAGAGCTACCGCTATATGGGGGCTATACCCAAACATGGGCCAATATTTATAATTTTTGGTAGGAAGATTTGTTACTCCATAAAACCCCAAATACCAAATTACAGCGAATTTTGTTGAAAAACATGCTCAAGATCCCGAATAATAAAGGTACCGATATATGGGGGCTATACCCAAAGTTGGACCAATAATGAAAATTTTTGTTGGAAGGTTTCCTATCCCATGAGAACCCCAAATACCAAATTACAGTCAATTAGGTTGAATAACATCCTCAAGACCCCGAATAATAGAGGTACCGTTATATGGGGGCTACCTTAAAAAGTAAACCAATATTGATAATTTTTTGTTGAGAGATTTGCTACCCCATGAGAACCCCAAATGCCAAATTATAGCAAATTTGGTTAGAAATCATGCTCAAGATCCCGAATAATACAGGTGCGGTTATATGGAGACTACCCTTAAACTTGGGTGAATATTGATAATTTTTGGTAGGGAGATTTCTTATCCCATGAGAACCCCAAATACCAAATTACAGCCAAATTGGTTGAAAAACATCCTCAAGATCCCTAATAATAGCGGTTCGGTTATATGGGGACTACCCTAAAAAGTTGATCAATATTGATCATTTTTGGTTGGAAGGTTTCCTATCCCATGAGAACCCCAAATACCAAGTTACAGCAAATTTGGTTGAGAAACGTACCCAAGACCCCGAATAATAGAGATACCGTTATATGGGGGCTATACCCAAACTTGAGCCAATATTGAAAATTTTTCGTAGGAAGATTTGCTACCCCATGAGAATCCCAAATACCAAATTACAGCGAGTTTGATTGAAAAACATGCTCAAGATCTCTAATAATAGAGGTACCGCTATATGGGGGCTATACCCAAACTTGAGCCAATATTAAAAATTTTTCGTAGAAAGATTTGCTACCCCATGAGAATCCCAAATACCAAATTACAGCGAGTTTGATTGAAAAACATGCTCAAGATCCCGAATAATAGAGGTGCGGTTATATGGGGACTACCCTTAAACTTGGGTCAATATTGATAATTTTTGGTAGGGAGATTTGTTACTCCATAAGAACCCCAAATACCAAATTACAGCCAATTTGGTTCAGAAACGTGCCCAAGACCCCGAATAATAAGGAATCGGTTACATGGGAGCTATACCCAAAATTGGGACAATATTAATAATTTTTGGAGGGGAGATTTTTTACCCTATGAGAACCTAAAATACCAATTTTCAACGAGTTTGTTTGAAAAACGTACTCAAGACCCCGAATAATCGAGGTACAGTTATATGGGGGCTATCCTAAAAAGTTGACCGGTATTAATAATTTTTGGTAGAAGGATTTGCTACCCCAAGAGAACCCCAAATACCAAATTACAGCCGATTCGGTTGAAAAATAGTACCCAAAAACTATAAATTTCGAATGTTACTGGGTAAGGGATTTACCAAATAGGAGACCGATATACGAGGGAAATATTTTTTATTTATTTTTTTGAATTCAATTAAGAAAAAAATCCAAAAAAAAACTTTCTTTTGATGAAAAATATTTTTTTTTGTTAATGAAAAATTTCCATCCCTGGAAATTTTTTGAATGCAATGTTACATGTCCATCCCTGCCTTACATATTTTTTTTTCATTTACAAAAAAAACTGAAAAAATTAAAAATTTTGAAAAGAAAAAAATTCCCTCTTTTTTTCCTTCAATTACAAATTTCCATCCCTGGCCTTTCACTTAGTCTTCCTCAACATCTTCCCTCATTCGATCCTCTTCCATTCAATTTCCAAAAATTGTCACTCAAGTGCATTAACAATATTTTTCCTATTTCCTTCCTGGGGAATCAGTGAGCTGAGAAATTTTTGCCCCTCCCCTCATCCACACACACACATAAGATGAGGAGGAACTTTTGTGTGTATGTGTGTGACAATATTGAGTGTGTGTCACACACATTTAATAAATTTTGCCAAGTGTCAAAAAATGTTTGATAACATTTTATGCAAATATGATTATGATGACGATGTTGCAACCCAAGCTCAAACACACTCACACATATACACACACACAAGACTGATAGTCATGCATGCTGCATGCATGCTCTCATGGCTTGTGTGTGCGGCGTTAGTATGGGGAATGCTCTCTTTACGTTAATTAGCTGGAATATTGCTGCATTTAATTAAAATTTGTGAAAAATGTGTGTTTTGCCAAGTCATCGCTGCATGAACAAACATGCAGGAATGAGATTTGATAGAGGAATAATTTTTGTAGATGACAAAAAAAATTAAATTAATTTTTTTTATGTCAAGGGGAAAATGTAGGAAAATATCAATTTGGAGCCGGAAAAAAATCCAAAAAAAAAAAAAATTAAGGGAATTTTTTGAAAAAATTTCCTGAAGGAACATAAAAAAATTTAAAGGGATTTTTTTTTCAAAAATTTCTAAATTTTTTATTTTGAACATTTAATAGGAAATTTGGGTATTTGAGAATTTTAAAGCCACCAGAATCACTTAAAGGACTTTACATTGAAAAGGTAATGAAAAAATCGGAAATTTGAGAATTTCCCTTTTGAGGGATATTTTTGGGGAAATTTTTCTTTTCACATTTTCAGTAAAATTTTAGCATCGTGGAACCTTTAAATACCTCTAAAGGTTCCACGAGGTAAAAAAATGTGAAAAAAATCGGAAATTATAACAATTTCCCATCGAGGGATATTTTTGGGAAATTTTTTATTTTCAGCTTTTTAAGTAAAATTTCAACATTTTGGAGCTACAGGAAGCCTTCAGAGGCCTTTCGGGGATGAAAAATATAAAAAATTGGAAAATTGTAAAAATTTCCCTTCAAGGGATATTTTTGGGAAATTTTCATTTTTAAGCAAAAATTTCAACATTGTGGAGCTACAGGAAGCCATCAGAGGTCTTCCTAGGATGAAAAAATATAAAAAAATTGGAAAATTGTAAAAATTTCCCTTCAAGGGATATTTTTGGGAAATTTTCATTTTCAGCTTTTTAAGTAAAAAATTTAACATTTTGGAGCTATAGGAATGATTTGGAGGTATTTTGGGTATGAAACACTATGAAAAAAATCTGAAAATTAAAAAATCCCTTCGAGGGATATTTTTGGGTAAATTTTCTTTTCACATTTTCAACAAAATTTTAGCATCGTGGAGCTACACAGGAAACCTTCAGAGGTCCTTTGTGGATAAAAAATATAAAAATTATAGGATAATTTCGAATATTAAACATTTCCCTTCGTGGGATATTTTTGGGAAATTTTTAATTTTCACCTTTTAAGTAAAATTTTAGCATCGTGGAGCTACGGGCAGCCTTCAGAGGTCTTTCGGAGATAAAAAAATGTGAAAAAATCGGAAATTGTAAAAATTTCCCTTCAAGGCGAAATTTGTGGGAAATTTTTATTATGAACAAAAAAAGGTTCATTTTCAACATTTTTGAGCCACAGGAATCATTTAGAGGCGATTTGGAGATAAAAGAATTAAAAAATTGGAAATTGTAAAAATTTCCCTCAAAGCGGAATTTTTTGGGAAATTTTCATTTTCAGGTTTTTAAGTGAAATTTCAGCATTGTGGAACTACAGGAAGCCATCAGAGGTCTTTCGGGGATGAAAATGTGAAAAAATCGGAAATTGTAAAAAAATTCCCTTCGAGGGATATTTTTGGGAAATTTCTATTATGAACAAAAAAATGTTAAATTTCAACATTTTTGAGCCACAGGAATCATTTAAAGGTGATTTGGAGATAAAAGTATTAAAAAAAAATTGGAAATTGTAAAAATTTCCCTCGAAGCGGAATTTTTGGGAAATTATTATTTAAGGGAAATGTTTTGATTTAAATATTTCAATGGCTCATTTAAGCATTGAGAAGCTTAGAGAACCTCATCGAGGCACTTGGGAAGCAAAAATTGAAAAAAAAATTTAAAATTTCCCTTCGAGGGAAAATTTTTGGGAAAATTATTTTTTAATATTTTAATGGCCAATTTAAGTATTTAGACGCTAACGTAACCTCTTGAAGACACCTGGGAAAAATAATCTGAAAAATTTTTAAAATGTCCCTTTGAGGAAAATTTTTGGGAAATTTAGATTTTGAATGGTTTAATGGTACTTTGTGACATTTAGAAGCTAAGATAACCTCTTGAAGACACTTGGAAAGCAAAAATATGGAAAACCCCGCACATTTTTAAAATTTCCCTTTAAGGGAAATTTGGGGAAATTCCGATTTGGAATTATTTAATATTATTTTCTGGAGTTTAGATGCTTAGAGAAGCTCTTGAGAAGCAAACATTTGCCTTGAGATGCAAAAATCTGAAAAAATCGGAAAATTTTTAAAATTTCCCTTTGAGGAAAAATTTGGGAAATTTGGATTTTGAATGTTTTAATGGTACTTTCTGGCATTTAGAAGCTTAGGGAACCTCTAGAGAAGCAAAAAATTTGGCTTAAGATGCAAAAATCTGAAAAAAATCGGAAATTTTTAAAATTTCCCTTCAAGGGAATTTTTTGGGAAATTTTATGGTTGCACTTTTAAAGGTACTTTTTGGCATTTAGAAGCTTAGAGAACCTCTTAGGAAGCCAAAAATTTGGTTTGGGATGCAAAAATCTGAAAAAATCTGAAATTTTTAAAATTTCCCTTTAGGGCAAATTTGGATTTTGAATAGTTAAATGGTACTTTTTAGGATTTAGAAGCTTAGAGAACCTCTTAGGAAGCCAAAAATTTGGTTTGGGATGCAAAAATCTGAAAAAATCGGAAATTTTTCAAATTTCCCTTCAAGGGAAATTTTTGGGAAATTTTATGGTTGCACTTTTAAAGGTACTTTTTGGCATTTAGAAGCTTAGATAACCTCTTAGGAACCCAAAAATTTGGTTTGGGATGCAATAATCTGAAAAAATTTGGAAATTTTTAAAATTTCCCTTCAAGGAAAATTTTTGGGAAATTTTATGGTTGCACTTTTAAAGGTACTTTTTGGCATTTAGAAGCTTAGAGAACCTCTTAGGAACCCGAAAATTTGGTTTCGGATGCAAAAATCTGAAAAACTCGGAAATTTTTAAAATTTCCCTTTAGGGCAAATTTTGGATTTTGAATGGTTAAATATAACTTTTTGGCATTTAGTAGCCTAGAAAACCTCTTAGGAAGCCAAAAATTTGGTTTGGGATGCAAAAATCTGAAAAAAATCGGAAATTTTTAAAAATTCCCTTCAAGGAAAATTTTTGGGAAACTTGGATTTTGAATGGTTTAATGGTACTTTGTGGCTTTTAGAAGCCAAGAGAACCTCTTGAGAAGCCAAAAATTTGCTTTGGTATGCAAAAATTTGAAAAAAATCGGAAATTTTTAAAATTTCCCTTCGAGGGGAAATTTTAGGAAATTTGGATTATGAATTGTTTAATGGTACTTTTTTGGCATTTAGAAGCTTAAGAAACCCCTTCGAGACACTTGAGATGCAATAATTTGGAAAAAATCGGAAATCTAAAAATTTCCCTTTAAGGGAATTTTTTGGGAAATTTTCCGTTAGATTTTTTAAATGGTACTTTTTGGCATTTAGAAGCTTAGGGAACCTCTAGAGAAGCAAACAATTTTTTGTTTCGGAAAAATTTTAAAAAAAAAAATATTTTTTTTTTTTTTTTTTTTTGAAAAATTCCCTTCGGATTTTTTTTTTCTGAAAATTTCTACTTTCTACAATTTTTACTACTAAAAAGAAGAAGAAGAAGTGGATTGGTGTTAACGCTACTTTGGAAAATCGGAAAATTATACAAAACTACAAGATTGTTGTTGTTGGGGAGGACGGAACATTCCACCCGGCAAGTATAGAGTTTAGAAGGTGAAGAAGAAGTAAAGAGGCCACAGTTTTTCCACCCAAAGTAATTTTTTGTAGAAGTTGTTGTTGTTGTTTTTGTAGCTAGAACACAAACCTCATCATTTCTGGTTTTCACTTGGGCCTGGGCCATTTGTGGCGTGCCATACTGCTGCTGCTGCTGAAAATCTTCAAAGGACCCATTTAAGGACATGGTGGATATTAACGAAGTCTCCTGCTGCTGCCGCATCATCATATCCTTTAACGATTGTGGTGAGAGACTCATATTGTGATGTTGCATCGATTCCGTGTTGGAATTATTTACGGAATTTATTCTTGTCAGGGTGGTATTTGCTGTCGATGCCGAACTACAGGAGGAAATTTGTGAGCTCAGCGATGAGAGATGGGCAGGTGGTGGATAGCGGGGTGTGGTCTTAACCATTTCTATGAAGCTGTCGGGAACATCTACCGGCAGTTCACGATGTTTGGCTTTTGAGCTAAGATCTTTGAGTTCATATTCGGGTGGAGGTGTGGATCCGGAACTGGTAATGCTGGGTAGACAGTCGGTGCCATTAATGAGCATGGCGGCATTGTTGAGAATGGAGGAGGCTCCACCATTTAGGGGGGGTTTATTTGCCGCCGAGGAGCTGGTGGAGGAGTTGCTTGAGGAGGATTGGGAATTGGAGTTGGAGGCATTGCGTTTGGCATCATTGTTGTTATTGTTATTGTTGTTCTGCAATTGGCGATAGGATATGGAATCAAAGGATTCGGAGGATTTTTTACTCAACACCTCACTCTCATAGGTGGAGGTGGAGGAGGAGTGTGAAGAGGACCCTTTGCGATAGAGGGCACCGACCATCATCAAATCCAAATCTTCGGGAGAGGACAGAGTTCCCCCATTGGGATTATGGGCCACGGACATTTTTCCCTTCGAACCCATAACCAGGGCATTGTTGAGCTTCTGTTGTTCCATTCCATGGAGTTCCAGGCAATTTTCATAATTTTCGATTTGATCCAATTTCAGTTGTTGTTGGGCATTGTAGGCATTTTGCCGATGCAGTTCCGCAGTGGTGTCATTCAATTCACCCAGCGATGAGGTGGTGTAGAGATGGTCATGGCAGGGTTGTTGTTGCGAAGATGATGATGATTTCGATGATTTTTGTTGTTGTTGTTGTTTTTGGGAATAATTATTTAAAATTAATTTGGCATTGTTTTGGATTAGCTTGGCGCTACATTTGGGCAGGGTATTATTCGAATGGAACTTAGTCGCTAGCAAGGGTGAATTTTGATAGGATTCGTTATCCCCAAAACCAGGATTTTCAAAACATAATGGCTTGTGCAATGATGAGGATGAAGATGAGGGGGAGTGGCGGGGGGTATGGGCCCCACTTGTGGTGGTTGTTAGTGTGGTAATGGTGGTGTGTGTGGTGATGATGGTGGTGGAATTCAAATTCTGAGGATGATGGGGACTTTGGGTTAGTGTGGTTATATAACTACAATGGGATAGGGTGGTGTAAGGCTGTTGCTGTTCCAATGGACGGTGGGGTAGTGTAAATGATTTTTTGTGTGTTGTGGTGGGTGAGGTGGATTTTTTGTTCTTGTGCTTGTGTTTGCTAACACTGCCTTTAACCAAAGTTACCTGTGGTGGACGGGGTGGCGGATAACGTGGTGGTGTCTTATTGCGTGCTATAAAATTATCTGGACAATCTACAGCCATCTCGCGATGAGGTCCTGGCGAAAAAAAAACAAAAAAATTTATTTAAAAAAATTCAAAAAAAAAAATTAATTCCAAAATCTCACCATTATCCTGATTGATGGACTTCAACATGGTTGTATACATTTCCTGATCAATTTCCTGGGTATCTTCGTTTGGCTGTCGTATGTGCGGCAAATTGTTATACACATCGGGCAGACAGGGTTTGAGGTCTTCACTGTCCAAGACGACAATACTGGAACCGGAACGACGCCGGGGCCTGGAAAGAAACAAAAAAACAAAGAAAAATTATTATTTGAAAATTTACATATATCTCCCACAAAACTTCACGTTAGAGGGATAGTGTAGAGGGAAAAAATATTCTGCACTAAATTTCACTATAGGTCATCGAACACAAGAAATCGTTATATAGTCCATATAACCCCGATATGAGGTTGCAAATATCGGACTCTTAAAAATAGACCTTATTATTCAATTTGTTTTGAGGTATTTTGTGGTAGGAGCCAAATCTGCCAAAGGAATTCATTTTAGGGTAAGGGAACTAAAGGAAAAAAAGTTCCTCAGGAAATTTCACTATAGGTCAGCGAACACAAGAAATCGGTATAACCACTATATACCCAAGAAATGGGGCTATCAGAATTAGCTTATTAATAAAATGTTTAATTTATGGTAAATTTATAGTTTTTTAGTTCCAGACCCATAATGTCCCCTAAGTCTTCATTTTAGGATAGCGGAACTAAAGATAAAAATGTTCCTCAGCTAATTTCACTATAAGTCACCGAACACAAAAAATCGGTATAATTACTATATACCCAAGAAATGGGGGTATCAAAAACGGATCTCAAAATAAGAATTTTTAATTTAGGCTTTTTCATAGTTCTTTTGAGTTACGATCAAAATCTACCATAACACTTCATTTTTGGGTGGCAGAACTAAAGGGAAAAATGTTCCTCAGGAAATTTTACTATAAGTCACCGAACATAAGAAATCGGTATATCTACAATATATCCAAAAAATATGGAGATCAATAAGGGCCTTTTAAAATTAATTTTGAATTCAGGCTTTATAATTGGTTTTTTTCGAGTGAAGCCCAAAATCTGCCAGAGGTCTTCATTTTACGGTGGCGGAACTAAAGAGAAAAATGCTCCTCAGCATATTTCACTATAAATCACCGAACACAAAAAATCGGTATAATTACTATATACCCAAGAAATGGGGGTATCAAAAACGGGTCTCAAAATAAGAATTTTTAATTCAGGCTTTTTTCATAGTTCTGTTGAGTTACGATCAAAATCTACCATAACACTTCATTTTTGGGTGGCGGAACTAAAGGGAAAAATGTTCCTCAGGAAATTTTACTATAAGTCACTGAACATAAGAAATCCGTATAACAACTATATACATCAGAAATGGGTCGATGAAAATGGTCCTAAAAATAAGCATGTTGATTTATGGTAAATTTATAGTTATTTAGTTCCAGGCCCAAAATCTGCCCTAAGAATTGATTTTAGGGTAGCGGAACTAAAGTGAAAAATGTTCGTCAGCAAATTTCACCATATGTTACCGAACACAAGAAATCCGTATAACAGCTGTATGCCCCAGAAATTGGTCGATGAAAATGGTCCTAAAAATAAGCATGCTGATTTATGGTAAATTTATAGTTTTTTACTTCCAGACCCAAAATCTTCCCTAAGAATTGATTTTAGGGAGCGGAACTAAAGAGAAAAATGTTCGTCAGCAAATTTCACTATATGTTACCGAAGACAAGAAATCGGTATAATAACTAAAGATCCAAGAAATGGGGCTATCAAAATGAACCTAAAAATAAGAATTTTTTTATTGTAAATTCATAGTTTTTTAGTTCCAGGCCCAAAATCTTCCGGAAGAATTAATTTTAGGGTAGCGGAACTAAAGACAAAAATGCTCGTCGGAAAATTTCACTATATGTTACCGAACACAAAAAATCGGTATAATAACTATAGAACCATGAAAAAGTACATTAAAAAATGGGTCTCAAAAAATAAATGTAATTTATTGTTAATTTTGGATAATTTTGATCTGGAGCCAATATCTCCGCAAAACATCCACTCTAGCAGGATGACCTCAAGAAAAAAAATATTCTACATCAAATTTCACAAAGGGTCACCGAACACAAGAAATCCTGTATATCAACTATATATCCAAGAAAAAGGGCTAACAAAACGGGTCTCAAAATATGGAATTGAAATTATGGTATTTTTGTGATAATTTTAATTCGCGGCCAAAATCTCCCTAAAACTTCACCTCTAGCGGGATGATGTCAAGGGTAAATATATTCTCCATCAAATTTTACTAAGGGTAACCGGTGACAAGAAATCGGTATATACAGTTTATATTCCAGAAATATCGGGTTTAATTTTGGGTTACAAAAAAAAATAATACTTTCTAAGTTTTTTGTCATTATTTCCCAATTTCCCGACCATTTGTCATGACAAATGTCATTTTAGGTGGAAACTGTCAAAGAGAAAAATATTCTCCATCAAATTTCACTATGAGTCACCGACCACAAGAAATCGGTATATATAGTATATATCCCCGAAATATCGGTTTTAATTTTGGGTAACAAAAAAAATACTTTTTAAGATTTTTGTCATTATTTCCCAATTTCCCGACCATTTGTCATGGTAAATGTCATTTTAGCTGGAAACTGTCAAAGAGAAAAATATTCTCCATCAAATTTCACTAAGGGTCACGGAGCAAAGGAAGTTTGTCCAATGAGTATTTATCAATAAAAATAATGATTTGAAATTTATTCCCCAGTTTTTGTTTGATGACTTGCATATATTTTTCCACCAATCATTCCGTTTCTTTCCCCATTTAATATGACATTTTCACTTGTCATATTTATAAATTTTTCTGTCGCATAATTTTCTTGGAAAATTTCCCCTAGTTATCTCCTGTTAGCTACTACCTGTCCCGCCATAAACTAAGCATTTCAAATTCATCTCTTTTGTCACTTTTTTGAAATTAGCCATAAATTTTTGTGCAAAACACACATTACATGATTGGGCAGGCTGGCTGGCTGGTAGTAAAAAACAATAAAATAAATGCAGCTGTCACTTGTCAAATGTCGGCAAAAGATCCCTTGAAAATTGCAAAAAGAATAGAAATAAGAAACCAAAAGAAAGGTAAGGCTAAGCAAGCGGCTAAGCCTTCGGCCATAAACTATGGCCAGGAAAAACATGTGTTTGGACGTGTCTTAAAGATGGCTGTCATACCAACAACAACTAAGGAAAATGTGTGTGTACAACCTAGAGAGAGGGAGAGAGAGGGTATGTGCACCAGTTTCAATGGCCATTTGCTAATCCTGCTTTGAGAACAAAAAATATTTCCTTGAAGAAAAAGAAAATTCCTCAAAGGCCAAATAAATTGATAATAGGGTTGCCACCTATTTTTTGGTAGGGGGTATTAAGGTCAAAAGCACACACACACACACATACACAATGTAACTTTTATTAACACATGACAGATTATAGGAGAGCAAAATTTTTAGTTTTGCCAAAAGTTCGGAAAGTTTTTAAGGATATTTAAGCAATAAAATGAAGAGATAGAGAGGGGAGAATGAGAAGAGAGAGAGAGAGAGAGAGAGAGAGAAGAGGGTTTGAGTGCTACAAATTCTCTTTAAAATTCCATTAGATAGCCAAGCAAACAGCATATCACATTCTTTAAGGACTTTAACAAGTCTTTGGGAAAATGTCATGCCATCAGATGCCAATGCTGCTGCTGACACTTGCAGTAAAGTATAACAAGTACTTCAGCAGGATTTACACACTATCCGGAGCAGAAGTTTCTTGTTAACTATTTCCAAAAAAGAAAAACACCCGATAAGTTTTCATGACAACTAAAAAAATAATCTCTTCTCAACCAGCAACGACAATTGCTTGCAATTTATATGAATGGCTCAGAAAGGATATGCGATAACCAACATATATATCATTCATAGAAATTTGAGATGCTCAGTGACCCATAGTGAAATTTGATGGAGAATATTTTTCTCTTTGAGAGTTTCCACCTAAAATGGCATTTGGTATGAGAAATGGCTCAGCAATGGGATAATATCAAATAATCCGAAAAAAGGTTTTTTTTCAAACTCAAAATAAAAACCGATATTTCGGGAATATATACTATATATAGCGATTTCTTGTGGTCGGTGACCTATAGTGAAATTCGATGGAGAATATTTTTCTCTTTGACAGTTTCCACCTAAAATGACATTTGAAATGACAAATGGCCCAGCAATTGAGAGAACATCAAATAATCTAAAAAATGGTAAAATTTTCCAAACTCAGAACAAAAACCGATATTTCGGGAATATATACTATATATAGTGATTTCTTGTGGTCGGTGACCTATAGTGAAATTCGATGGAGAATATTTTTCTCTTTGACAGATGTCACCTAAAATGACATTTACCATGACAAATGGGTGAGCAATTAAGGAAATATTAAAAATCTAAAAAAATATTTTTTTTTGTAACCCAAAATTAAACCCGATACTTCGGGAATATAAACTATATATACCAATTTCTTGTGGCCGGAAACCCCTAGTAAAATTCGATTCAGAATATTTTTCTCTTTGACAGTTTCCATTTAAAATGACATTTGCCATGACAAATGGATCAGCAAATTGGGAGAACATCAAATAATCTAAAAAAGGTAATTTTTTTGGATAATCAAAATTAAAACCGACATTTCGGAAATATATACTATATATACCGATTTCTTGTGGCCGGAGATCCCTAGGGAAATTTGATGGAGAATATTTTTCTCTTTGACAGTTGTCGCCTAAAATGACATTTAGCATGATAAATGGGTGAGCAGTTAAGGAAATATTAAAAATCTGAAAAAATATTATTTTTTGTAACCCAAAATTAAAACCGATATTTCGCGAATATAAACTATATATACCGATTTCTTGTGGCCGGAGACCCCTAGTGAAATTTGATGGAGAATATTTTTCTCTTTGAGAGTTTTCACCAATAATGACATTTGCCATAACAAATAGGCCAGCAATTGGGAGACTATCAAATAACCTACAAAAAAGTAATTTTTGGGTAATCAAAATTAAAACCGATACTTCGGGAATATAAACTATATATACCGATTATTTATGTTCGGTGACCCACAGTGAAATTTGATGGAGAATATTTTATACTTTGCAAGGAACTCGATAAAATGAAAATTTGTGGAAGAAATTGGCCTCACATTGGAAATAACCGAA